CAGCATGCCTCCTCGGCCGCCGCGGCCGCCGCTGCCGCGGCCGCCGCCGCCGCGATGTTGAACCCAGGGCAGCAGCAGCCGTACTTCCCATCCCCGGCCCCGGGCCAGGCCCCTGGACCGGCTGCAGCAGCCCCAGCTCAGGTACAGGCTGCAGCAGCTGCTGCAGTTAAAGCGCACCATCATCAGCACTCACAACATCCACAGCAGCAACTGGACATTGAGCCGGACAGACCCATCGGATATGGAGCCTTTGGTGTTGTCTGGTGAGTAGAGACAAAAGTGAACTGATACCTCCTTGTCATTCTTTACCTGATCATAACTCATCCTTGTTTTTGTCATTTGAATCAGAATACAAGAGAGCTGCTTACTACCAGTTTTTTTGCTGGTTCTTCTCTGTTCTTAGAAAGTTGCTTTGCGTGTTTGCGTTGGCAGAACAAGGTTCCCAGTGGTGAGGAGCCACCTCTGACTAACAGCCCACCCTGCCGTTCTCTTCTGAGACAATGCAGCTTGTTTATGCCCTTTCTGTACCTTTAATTACAGTGTGCATCCGTCCAGCTAAGCTGTGCTTCCTAAAATTTCAGGTTAACAAATGAGCATTAGAATATTCATTTTGACCTGGCTTAAGAGTCAGAAATGAAAAGTATATGAAAATGTCTTCGTTGTGCAGTCACCTGTCAAGATCTTTGTCTCATGGCGGTTTGACCCGCGGTAGTGCTGTGTGCTACCTAAAACAGCACAGCTGAACTTTGTTCCCCTCTCAAAAATGGAAATGGGATTTCCTGCCTCACTGTAGTTCTGCCTCCGGCCCTTTTATCCCCCAGCCGCGTTTCAGAGGAGTCTGTCAGCGGAGTGGAATCTCTTCTAATGCATTTTGTGACTACCTTAGAGCCATGTATGTAATTAGTGCCCTTCAGGAGCACTGACACAAAACTGGCAGCAGCATATATATATTTGTGTATAAGTGTTTGTCAGTGTGCTCTATTCTGAGCTGTGCCTGGGAAGCATGAAGGCTGGCAGGAGGTGTTCTGGAGAGCAGGCGTGTTGCAGTGCGCTTCCTGCAGCACAAATGCAAAGTTTGCAGCGTGCAGCTGTGTGTGGTGTCCCAGCCCTCTGCAGTGTTCCCAGCCGAGGTGCCCTGGGAGTTTCACTTTAGGCGCTGGCTGAGCTGCAGCTTCGCTGAGAGGAGTGGCAGGGTCACGGTCTGTGCCAGCGTACGGAGGCAGAGGGCTCAGCAGGGCAGGCCTCAGGAGAGCAAAACCCCTTCTGCCTGCAGCCAGCCCTTCAAGTCAGCCATGCATTACCAGCCCAGTGTTGGTAGCAAAATGGTGCTTTCTGGGAAGGCCAAGGGAGCTGCAGGAGCAAGGTTCAGGTCAGTGTTGTGGTTGCTCTCGTGTGCCTTCCCTCAGAGCTGGGGAGTTAATTTAAACCCTGAGTTCTCCCAGTCGGAGGGGAGCTGTTGTGCAGTCAGCACTGCCATGCTCTGGCTGTGGTACAGCATAAAAAAGTGGGTGTAAAAGAATGAAAACTGACAAGGAATCTGCTGTAAAAAATTATCTAAAGGTATTTCGGTTTGTTTGTATCTTTTTTAAATAGTATGGAGTTTTTATAACTTAATATGTTACAGTCTTTGCTTAAATGTATGTTGTTATGTAAGATCAGCCCTTTTTATCGGTTTGCCTGTGCATTTCCTAGGTCTTTATTTTCCCAGTTCTGTTCGCCAAAAAACAAGGTGCAGAGAGAGATCTGCTCCCGCATTATTCAGTAGAATGAAAGGTCATGCTTGCATATTTAAATATAATATCATTAATAGAGCTGAGGGGAGAAAGAGGGAAGGGTCTGACTGACATCAGGTAGGAAAGACAGTGCTAAAAGCATCCACCTATCCCGAGCCCTCGGCCGTGCACCTGCGGCAGGACCTGCCCCCGGGGGACTGTGCCTGCAGAGCTGCAGCTACAGCTTTGCTTGGAGGTAACAACAGCTTGGGAAAGAGACAACAACGAAGGGGGAGGGTGTTAGTTAAAAGCAGAAGGTGGGAGCTGGGATCCCTCCGTCAGAGCTGGGGCTGCGCTGGCTGGGGATGGCATTGGTGGGAGTGAGTTCCTCTTGTGTTTGAATTCAGCGGTCACTGCTTGGCTTTTGGAGTTTCATATTAACTTCTGCTGGTGAGTGCAGGCTCAATTTAGGAGTCTGTAAGCAATAATTAAACTGAATTTTAGTTCCATTAAAAACGTGGGAGAAAGCCCATGCAATTGAATTTTAGCTATGTGAGATAAGTAAACACTGACTTGAATATTTATAGTTTGAGGTGGTCATGAGCAGTTGGGTTCAAGTGTGACATGCACGGGATTCACAAAGCCTGACTTTCGAAGGAGGATTCTGTTGTTTCTTGCTATCTTGTCTGAGCATTATTTGTGCTAATAGGTAACTGAAAAGTTTCTATCAGTGCTTCTGAGGGAAATGGATATTATTCCATAGACTGTTGGAGTGTTTGCAGAAATCTTTCATCTTCTACTCTGATGTGTGGCTGCTTTGTTTGGGAGGTACAACTGACCTGCAGCTCAGCTCAGTGCATCAGACGAGCGATCAGCTTGTGGTGCTGCACTTCCCGTTACCTCACCGAGAGAGATTTTCCCTTGGCAGTTGAATTAGCATTTGTCATTAGTTCATATGTCTGGTACTCTGCGATGTTTTGGGGTAGCTAATGTGCTGCTTGGCGTTTTTCACTCGTGAAGAGCTTTGTGCTTCAGCACTTTGATTATTAACCCCTGTGGGTGGGTGCTGCTGCCGCTGTCTGTGCACACAGGCCATGTTGTTGCTCAGCTGGGCACCACCTCTGTGGAAATCAGCATCTGCTCTGCCTGCTGACCTGGGATGAGGAGGGTGCTGCTGAAGCAGGGGTAGGAGTGCAGGGACTTTGCCAGGTCCTGCAGGTTTGTTTCCCCACGCTTTGATTTGGTGAATTGCCTCAAACCCAGTCATGTTCCTCATTTGCCAAAACCAGAGCAATTTGCTCTTGGAGTGTTCCCTGCTTTTGTGTTCCCTGCTCTCATGTTCCTAAAGTGCTGAAAAAATCCAGATGTTAATGTCAGCGACAAACTCTGTCTGTGCCCTGTGGTTCAGTCTGAGTAGGGCTGAGTTTTGGAAGTCTTGTGTCTGTTCCAAGAATAAGGAGCTGTCCTTTGGAGAAGTGCTCCCAGTTTTGCTGGGGAGACATGCTGCTGCCATCTGGTGGGATTCCTAAAAAAATAGTAATAATGATAAAAAAGTGTATCGATTGAACCTGCCAAGGCCAATAGGTTTGAAATGAGGGCTGAAGCCTCAGTCCCTCTGCAAGAGGTGCTGGTGCTGTTTCCACGCAGGATTCCTGGACCGGTAAAGAGGCTCTGCAGCTGCAGGAGAGAGATGGGGAATAATGACTCTTGTTGCTGGTTCAAGGTGGTAACTCTGCCTCTTAAATGTTGTGTAGATGTCCTTTTTGATGGGATATAGCCACTGCAGTGGGATAGGAATATAAGGTGTGGGGGAATTCTGCTTGTCTTATTTGTGTCTATTAATTTTGAAAACTTAATATCATTCATCAGAGACTGTGGAACCAAACAATCTCTCTTAATAATGTCAAAACCATGTTAAAATGCATCTCTGTGGAAAAGCTGTTACAAGTGACAATAGAAAAAAGTAGTTGAATTAATATTTTTTTTTAATTCCTGATTTGCCCCATTTAAAATTGGGGGCTGGGGGGTGGTTAACATACTTGCTTCTAATTCTTTTTATTCAGGAGGTCACATGACAGTACAGTGTTCCAAGCAGTTTGGCTCTTGGTGTTGAGACAGGACATCATGTTCAGGCTGCCATAACTTTAAGGGCAGAAATAATTTAGCCTTAATCTACTGTTCATTCCTGGACTGCAAAGGCCTGAAAACACCAAAGTCATTTCTCCATAAAACCCAAATGAATATTACATACGATGGATTGTTGCCTGGACCCTGGAACTATTTTAAGAGGGTTTTATCCCAGCACTGATACTAAGCATAGCAGTAGGAAAGACGTTTCCAGGATAAACTGATAATCTCCCATTCCTTTAAAGGAATGTGTCCTGCTGAGCAAGGATGCAGTGAGGATAATGTGTTTAGGACAAAATTGTTAGAGTGTACATGAAGGAGAAAAAGGTCTTATGAGTTCAGAGAAGTCCAAAAAGTGGCAGGAGAAGTTCCCCTTCTATCTGATATTGCTGAAAACCACAATGATGTTTGGCATAGTAATACTATTAATGGTGTCTAAGCTGGTAAGCCAGAAAAGTTTAGCGAAAGCTGAACTATAAACATTTATTTTATGAAATTCATTAGGACTTCTGGTGGGAGAGATTTTTTCTGAAGTTAAAACTGTCTGTATCATCTTTTTCCACTCCCTCAAGCCTCACCTGCAAGCAGAAGACAGTACTTGACCATTGGGAAATATTCTCTGACAGTTAGGTGGACAACGGTTTGCTTTAAACTGTGTAATGTGACATTTTGTGTTAGTCTAAAGTGACTATTTGTTCCTGCTGAGCGGTGCTGGTGCTGTCCTGCTCCTCCCCCAGCCCAGGGGGTGAGGGCCAGGGGTGCATGAGGGGTGTTCCAGCACCGTGGCACCATGCCCAGGGCACAGAGTGGGGAGAGAAGAGCTGTTGGCAGTGGGGTGTTCGTCTCCCCAAGTAACCTCCCCCCAGCTCTGTGGGGCTGGGCTTAAACCACGACAGTTTTCCACTCTGTGTTCTACTTCAGTGAGTTTTGCTGTTGTCTGGGGCACCTGATGCAGATAGACAATGATTTCATGAGAGAGGTCGAGTCATTTTTATCCAGTTATTGGAGGGAACCAGGAGGATGCCTGAGGCAAAGGAGGCAGCGCTGGCAACAGGCACAGAGTAGAGTGGGGATGGGGTTTCACATTCACCATCACAATGAAAGGAGCTGCAGGTGATGATCTTGGACCCCTATGTCAGTATTTTTTATAGGATTGCTTTATCTAAATTGGATTCTGACCCTATTTGTGAGGAAATGTAGTAGATCAATGACTTTATTCAAGTTTTTCTATATGGGAAATTTTGCAAAGCTTTATGTGTTTGAGTGGTTGGGGCTTTTTTCCAAATTTCCTGAAAAGAAAAATTCTGTTAACATTTAAATGACTGTTTCCCAAATTGAGTGAATTAAATTAAATGGATATAATAACTCCTTGCATTCAAATTAGATGTTGGGATTAGGTGAAATTCTATCCAAGTAATAGACGA